AAGACTCCATTCAAAACTGTGAGCTCAGCTACATCTTTCCTGACTTGAGCTCAGAGCAATTTTCCCCCCTGCACACCACTCACAGGTTACGTTGCAGCCCGCCCCCTTGTGATGTCCCTGCAGATCTACTCTTCGAAGGTGAAGCCACCATGATTCTTGTTCCAGTTCCGCTGGCTTCTCAGGCAGGTGCACGTCAGACAGTCCATACATGCAGACACAGTCGTGCACCTGGGAGGAGGGGCTGGAAGCACTGAGTGAAGGAGGGAAAATATAACCAACAAATGTTTGGGGGAAGGGGGGAGAGAAAGAAAAATGAGGTGGAAAGATCGCTGGCAGCCTGTGAGGGCGCCACCCCATTGGCTGAGTGGCCCCTTGAGCTACGAGCTTTGCATCCATTATCTACATAAATAAAATTATAGAACAACCCTATGATAAAAACTTAGGTCTAGGGAAGGTGAGTGATTTGTGCGTGGTCACACAGATGCAGGGAGCGTTTGGTTCTGGATCCCCTTTGGGTTCATTAGGCTGTTACCTGGCAGGAGTGGTTGGGGCCTAGGGCCTAATAGAGGTCAAGGAAGGAAACAGGAGGAAATCCACCAACATGAAGCTTCATGAAGGCAGGGACCCATCTCACTACATCCTCAGAAACTAGAGAATTGCCTAACATGCAGGAACTCGGTGTTTTTCTCAAGAAGGGGTGGGAGGGAGCGAGGAGGGCTTTGTAATTACAGTTGTTGAACATGAACAAGGCCAAGTCAAAAGCAGGAGCTCTTACCTGCTGTGTCTCCCAGAGGCTGCCCATGGTTGCTCCTTGGGTATAAGGTGGACCAGAACTTCTCCAACCTGAGTGTGCTTAACAGTAAACCCCTTCAATTCCCCTGAGGATGCCAACTCTGACTCCGGAGATGTAAGATAGAGCCCGAGATTCTGCATGTCCAACACGCGCCCAGATGCTGATGGTGATGGTGGTGATGGTGGTAGCGATGGTGATGATGGTTGTGATGGTAGTGATGATGATGATGGTGGTGGTGGTGATGATGGTGACAGTGCTGATGATGGTGATACTGATGGTGGTGGTGGTGGTGATGATGATGGTAATGCTGAGGATGATGGCAGTGATGGTGGTGGTGGTGATGGTAATGCTGATGCTGAGGATGATGGCAGTGATGGTGGTGGTGGTGGTGATGGTGATGGTGATGCTGAGGATGATGGCAGTGATGGTGGTGGTGGTGGTGATGATGGTAATGTTGAGGATGATGGCAGTGATGATGGTGCGTGAGTGGTGATGATGGTAATGTTGAGGATGATGGCAGTGATGGTGGTGGTGGT